ATTGAATATAAAAGCACAAAAACTGCCAATCTGGGAGATATATCTATAATGGAATACACTCTGCAGTGGTCGCACCACATGATATTTGGTCGCACCACATGATATTTTCAAACTCAGTCAAAATGTACAAGCACAGAATTGGCCACCTAAACAAAACAAGATAGCTTCCCACAAAAGGTCACTATGAAATTTATAATGAAAATAAATACTTGCAGAAATTACTTGATATTCATTGTTTTTTGAGGTCATACCACATGATATCCAAATGGGGTAACTACATACCAGCCGTTAAAAAGGTATTTTTTTCCCCAAATTTGAAAGAGACTTATAAACCTGCTTGATGCTTCCATGGGTCCTTAGCAAATTGGTATATGATGCAAAGTCCTATTGAATGGATTTCAACATAAAAGTCCCAAAATGGTAGTTTCTTGATGGTCGCACCACATGGTGTTTCATAAAATGGAAATCATCGGACACAGTTTGTTTGTATATTATGATGGAAATATTAATGCAAATGCTTTGCCATTTTACACAGGATTACAAAACACGTTATAAATTATGCCAAATAGTGCATACAATTAATCTGAATAAATTTAGGGTAATTTCAAAGATGTTTACAAAAAAAGTTATGGCCGGACCACATGATATTTTGACACTTTGAATAACAGAAACATTACAAATAACTAATGGTTTTTGAAAAGTTAAAGTGAGTACATACATGGGAGAGGTCCTTCATATATATGGTATCTTTTTTATGCATTTAAACCAATTTTTAACTGAAAAAATGCAATCGGACAAAAAATTTAGGCATCACGTCATTGACCCATATACACTGAACAAAATTATAAACACAACACTTTTGTTTTTGTCCACGTTTTTCATGAGCTGAACTCAAAGATCTAAGACTTTTTCTATGTACACAAAAGGCCTATTTATCTCAAATATTGTTCACAAATCTGTCTAAATCTGTGTTAGTGAGCACTTCTCCTTTGCCGGCGTCACATTATCTCAGGTGCATTTTATTGATGGTATTTTGAATGCACAGTGTTCGTTGTCCATAACATACGCCTGCCCATACCAGAACCCCATCGCCACCATGGGTCACTCGATCCACAATGTTGACATCAGCAAACCCCTCACCCACACGACGCCATACACACTGTCTGCCATCTGCCCTGTACAGTGAAAACCGGGATTCATCCGTGAAGAGAACACCTCAAAATTATTTATATATAGTGTTTCTGTGATTTGGGTCAATCCGGCCACCCCACACTCGCACCTCTCCATTCACTCTCTGTTTTGACTTCCACAACTCTGTGCCTCTGCCAGGCATCTCTCATGCAAGTCATTATACCGCAATGGATTGCAGTCTTTCCCCTCCATCTCTCTGCCGTTGTAGTAACGACTCATTCATCAAGGCCGTTTAAAGAGAGTTGCCTGTGCATAAATAAGGGGTGAGGTCTGGCAGCAGAAACCTGCTGATGTTATCAGGCAGATGGGTGGCTTCCTCATCACTGTGCTGCTGCCTGTAAGGAAGGCTGAACTTTCTGACTGCTGTCAAAGCCACTAGAAGGCAAGCCTGCAACCTTTAGCCAAAAATGCATAATGGCTAATGTTGACGCTTCTGCTTTGGCAATACGTGAGAGGAGACCAGAGGCTGTTTTTTTTTTTAAATGGGTGTCAATGGAGGAGTGGCTTTACTAAGCTGAATAAACAGCATTTTAGAGGAAACGGCTTATCAATTAAATAATCGACAGCCTATCGGCTAATCTTCAACATGCTTTACACTAAAAATAGTTATATTAAAATGTTTTGTTTAGAGTTTACACTGAAACAAATGCAGTTTTATAAGACAAGTCACTAGGCGCATTTCCATTACCCTTCAAATTGTGCAAATTGAAACTGAAAATTGAAAATATGCCTAATGGAAACGTGTCAATTTCGCAAAAACGCCCATATAATCGCAAAAATGTTTTTACGCTCGCATAAGGTGGTATTACAGGCAATGTGAAAAAGGAATAATTTGCAAAACTACAATGGAAACGGCTTTTTCGCATTTACAGGTCACATGGTGTATGTAAAAATTCATATGATCATTCTTCAATGTACTATAACCTCCAATAAACACATCATATGTGGCCGCTCTCCAGTATAAGGGGCTTTCCCTACCAATAATGAACGGTGTGTAATAATCCGCCGGTGTGCGTACACTCATAGAAAACAATGTGTTTGAATTTTAAATACGTGGTGTGACACGTTGTGAAACGACGCTGCACTTCTCATCCGGTGTGCGACCGCCTTAGTGCGATTGGTTGTTAAGGCACACGTGATCCAAGTTGACTATTACGCTTTTTTCAATAGTAAGTAATACAGACCCACTCATCTCCCAGTAGTAAGACAATCTCTGCTGCTGTTCTCCTGCTAAAAAAAAAAGAAAGAAAAAAAAGCTGTTTGCCAGAATTTATACAACAGTTCTTTTTGGTCCTCGGAACAGTTCTTTTTGTGTCACGGAATGTAGTTTTAAGAGTTTTTTATGCGATAATGTACTTGTTTCGACTTAAAATATGCGGTTTGTTTATAAAGATAACATCTGTTCGAAAATTTGCTTCAACGTTTTCGGAGATGTGAGCTCCAGGGCATCAGCGGCCGTTCAACACTCATGAACCCGCAGAGAGCAGCCTCACCTCGACCAAATCTTCTGGAATTTGCCGCTGGGTCTGATGTCTCTATGGTGGTTAAACGTGAGATATCATTTGTTTGGGGTAAATCTAACAGGCAGTCTTTGGTCTCATTAATCTATTATTTGTTTCAGAGCAAATGTTATCACGTTATATTTTATGTAAATTCAATGCTGTGTATCAGAGCACTGCCTTTGTACTTTTGACTGAATTGTCTAGCAACTTTTATGATGGCTTTTGTTGATGTTTATTAAATATTATTATTCAGTAAATAATATTTTATATAAACAATAGTTATGTCATGACAACTCTCGGAGGGATTGGCATGGTAATGTACATGACAATGTTAATGTATTTGGTCTTGGCGGATTAGATCTGCTATGCTGCTGCTACTGCTGAGGCAGAGCAAGTACTGAGACTTGCTACTGCCAATACATCCACAAAATGCTGCTGTGAGCATGTACGAAATATTGCTGCTGCAAATATAACATACATGAAATAACCCCCATATAGCGTACATGAATCACCTCGTAGCAGATCTTTACAGGTGGAGCTGGGAAAAGTGGAGGGTTTCTGAAGCAAGCTGCAACTGCTACGGCAAGCACTAGTGATATATTTGAATGTTGAGCAGCGACCTCATTGGCTAACGATACAGGAGAGAACCAATCAGCTGTGTCATGTGATAATGATGTCATTAGTTCAGACTGAGTTAGACCTATTGGACTACACCATCTAGAGTTTCATGCCATAACTCTGTATTTGTATTTAGTATTGGGAAACAGTGTGTGTTCATGATGGTGATTTTAGTTACATTGTTCCGCTATTAGATGACGATAAGAGACAGTTATTATGAGTGAGTCAGCAGTAAAGACTTTTATATTGAAAGAGACAGAAGTTATTTTTATTTTCTACAACAGCTTGTAAGACGCAGTTAACAAATGCACTGAGCAGTGCTGTCATCGGAAATCACCCTTAACAGATGAAAGGGCAGTACGACAAAGATATTGCTTTCCTCAGCGGACATTCAAACTTATGTTTTATTGTGAATATGAGATTGAGCTGAAGAATGAATGCTGTATCGGATGTAGGTAATCACACTTGCTCAGTCCATCTCTCTCTCTCTACTCGACTCCACATAATACTGCTTTTAATACAGTAATACAATAACCTTTTAATGAAGCAACTCAGCGTTCCTTCGTTACTAGTTCCAAAGTGATGTTTTCAAATTAGTAATGGATCTTGAGTTCAGCTGTTAAACTGTCAAACTGAGATTTTAATCTGTGGCAGAAGGAAGTAGTTCCGCACAAAAGACGTTTTTTAAAGACACTCCATTGTTGTTTCATATTAATTTATATACTCGTGCCATCGAACTGTTGTATAAACGCAATATCACACCTGTAACCGTGATATATGGCTGTATATCGGCACACTGTGATTACCTACGGTGATTAACTTCTACGGCTGAATCACAGCAGTGCCGATATACAGCCATATCTCACGTCTACTTCTAGTTTCATGCATTCTTTTTTTATATATCAACATTTGAATGTGTGTAGGTTTCATTTAAAAAGCAAAAAGCTGAGAAAATGTTTTTGTCAAAGACTGCGTCTGGATATGTGATGAAAACAAAGATGAAACACAGATCCAAAGCACTTCCTGAGTCGGCATTTAATTTGGTAATGTTAGGCAGCTTTGATTTATGTGCTGTTTAATGTTTGATAATGGCGTTATTTTACATAGGCCTATGCATCTGCTTACATAGTCGCTTGTTTCTGCTGCTTCTTCACTTGTTTTAATCCAGAGATTTCAGTACTCTTTCCGAAGATCTGCGTCGCGGTTTGGGCAACTGACAGATCACACACCGGATACATTGCATTCATTTGAAGCAGAATCATCCAAAGCATTTAATCTAATCACCAAACATGCAGAGTTCACGTCAGCCGGTCGACAGCTAGTCAGTACTCAACGTAGCTCCTGGACTACTCTGCACTGGAAGATAATTACTTCCTGTCTATCGGTAATAGTGGAAAGGCGGCTTTAGAAGGAGTCACAACCTCTCACTCTCGGCTGTGTCTCAGTTGCCCCCTCCTTCTCTGCCCCGCACTTGTCTTATTATTGCCCCAGAGAAAGAGTCTCTTGACATTCACACGTGGCCTGACCTTTTTTGGGACAGTTTCCAATTAAATCTTGTCAGGTTCTTGTCTGTGCAAAGTGGCCTGAGATGGCCTTAGCCTGCCTAACTTCACAGAGATACACTACTTTTCGAGTGGAGGTGGCAGAGCGTGTTGTTGGCGACTCGTGGTGACTCATCGAGTACGGCAGAAGGACGTTTTCTCGTGGAGATAATTGCGTTTTTCTCACCTGTGCCGTTTATTTTGCAGGCCTTCAAAAGTGCCATGATGAGCTCATACTGGTGTGCGGGGAAGGGTGATGTCATCGAGAACTGGTGCCGCTGTGACCTGACGGCGCTTGGCAAAGACGGGCTTCCCAACTGTAGCCCCCTGCGGCGGCCCGTGTAAGTTACCCCCACCTGCAAGCATCTTTATGCAATACTTGATTCCTGGCACCTCTTTTTTGGCAGAATATTAAGGCATCCTAGCCTTAGGCAAGACATATGATGCTGCCAAATATGCCTCATGTTCACTGCCAAATTGTGAGGCAGCGTCTCATCAAGGCAATCGTTTGCTGACTCAGTCAGTATGTCCATTACATTAAATGCTGAGTCACATAATGAAATATACAAAATATTTTCAAAATATTATACAAGTCACTTCTGCTCCCCAAGGCTGCATTTATTTGATTGAAAATACAGCAAAAAGGTAATATTGTGAGATATGTTTTCTATGCAAATATATTGTGAAATGTAATTTATTCCTTCAGAAATCATTCTAATATGCTGATATGTTGCCCAAGAAACATTTCTGATTATTATCAATGTTGAAAACAGTTGTGCTGCTTATGTTTTTGTGCAATCTGATACTTGTTTTTTCTTCGGGTTATTTGATAATTTTGTTTTGAAAAATATATATTTTTTTAAAAATGCATCAATGCATCCTTGATGAATAAATTAATTATTAGTTTATATTAATTAAAAAACAAACAAAAAAACTGCACATTTTTAAAAAGGTAGTGGGAAAAATAAAATGGACAATTTTGTGATTCAGACTATTTTCAGACTCTTTTGTGAAAGGAATAAACAAAAAATTTCCGGCCAACAAGATCCAAACTGCCTCATGCAAATTATGTTCAGCACAGATTGTACTGCCTTATTCGTGTCGTTGTCTGAAATCAGGGCAGAGAGCTTGTGTCGCTCTTGTGTCTAATTCATTCTTAGTGAATTCCTCAAGGTGTCTTAAGTATTCTGCCTACTGTTTATAATAGCCTTTGCTTCAGAGTCACATCTATGGTGCCTTAAAATGCCTCCTGCTTAAGCAGCTCGGTGGGTTTTGGAACAGAGCCATTCTGTCAAATCCTACTAACACATACACACAATGCTGGCTTGTCTTTATTTTCGCAGATTGAGACTGGCTTCACACCTGGAACCCTCCAGTACGATGGTGGCGCTGGAATGGATTGATGTGGAACCCCTGATTGGCTACAAGGTTTCAGATTACATCATTCAACACAAGCGAGTAGAGGACCTGTCAGAGGCAGAAATCTACACAGGTAAGCGCCACTCGCAGGCTTATGAACACTTTTACAGAGAAGAACGCCCGCTTCACACTGAATTGTAATAAAGTCTGTGCAAAAACAACTTCTTAAAATACAAGGGGAACTGCGTTGCTGGTCAAAAGTTTGGAATAATTAAGATTGTTTATAAGATTGTTTGAATTCTCTTCTGCTTACAAAGGCTTCATTTATTTGATAAACAGAAAAACAAAACGTAATATTGTGAAATATCACTATTTAAAATAGCTGTTTTATATTTGAATATATTGTAAATTTGTAATTTATTGCTGTGATCATTACTCAAATGTTATACCCATCTATGCAATACAGTGGAATACCGCGATAAGTTTAGTAGGCTATACCACCCTACCCTATTAGTCAAACATAAAAAAGCAATAAATAAATACATACATACATAAATTAAAATAATATATATAATATTTTTTTTTATGTATGTATTTATTTATTATGAAAGAGGATTAGGGCCAAGCAATAATAAAATAATAAAACCATCTCGAGATTAAAGTCATTACATTTCGAGAAAAAAATAGTTAAATTTCAAGAAAAAGTCGAGATTAAATGTTGAGATTAAACTCGTTAAATTGCGAGAAAAAAAGTCGAGATAAAATGTTGAGAATAAACTAATTAAATTATGACAAAAAAAGTTGTTAAATTTCGAGAAAAAATCTCGTAAAAATTTCGAGAAAAAAGTCAAAATAAAATGTTGAGAATAAACTCATTAAATTACTAGAAAAAAGTTGTTAAATTTCGAGAAAAAAATCTCGTTAAAATTTGGAGAAAAAAGTCTAAATAAAATGTTGAGAATAAACTCATTAAATTACTAGAAAAATGTTGTTAAATTTCGAGAAAAAAATCTCGTTAAAATTTGGAGAAAAAAGTCAAAATAAAATGTTGAGAATAAACTCATTAAATTATGACAAAAAAAGTTGTTAAATTTCGAGAAAAAATCTCGTTAAAATTTGGAGAAAAAAGTCTAAATAAAATGTTGAGAATAAGGAAATAAAATGTTGAGAATAAGCTCATTAAATTACGAGAAAGAACTCGTTAAATACTCGTTAAGCAATTGATTTCCACTTTTCCGATGTGATATGTGATGAGAAAAGGAAGAAAAGTGAGTTTGGCAAAAAACAGACTTGAACCCAGTCGATCGTATCAGCGCTACTCTCCAGTGCATTACTCTCTAATCCACCCCACTGCAGACACTAAACAATGCTGTCCAATGAGATGAAATGAACATGACACGAGTGTGTTTATTCTCGACTTTTTTCTTGATATTTTACAAGTTTTTTTCTCGTAATTTAATGATATTATTCACAACATTTTATTTCGACTTTTTTCTCGAAATTGAACGAGTTTTTTTCTTGAAATTTAACGACTTTTTTCTTGTAATTTAACTGCGTTTATTCTCAACATTTTATCTCAACTTTTTTTCTCGCAATTTGATGACTTTTTTCTCGTAATTTAATGAGTTTATTCTTGAAACATAATGACTTTATTCTCGAGATGGTTTTATTTTTTTTATTATTGCTTGGCCCTAATCCTCTTTCTTTCTTGCTTTCTTTATCATCTATCTATCTATCTATCTATCTATCTATCTATCTATCTATCTATCTATCTATCTATCTATCTATCTATCTATCTATCTATCTATCATCTATCTATCTATCATCTATTTATAATTTTATTCTATCCTCCATTGAGGGCTGAGCCCCCCTAAAATGAAAATCCTAGAATTGCCCCTGATTTGAATAGATTGTAAATTTGTAATTTATTGCTGTGATCAAAACTGAATTGTCAGCATCATTACTCCAGGCTTCAGTGTCACATGATCCTTCAGAAATCATCCTAATATGCTGATTTGCTGCTCGAGAAGCACTTCTGGTTATTTTCAATGTTAAAAAGTTCTTGCTGCTTAATATTTGTTTCAAAACTGATACATGTCCATTCAAAAATGTTGGTAAAAATTTAACATAGATGTGACAGTAAAGACATTTTAATGTTACAAAAAATAAATATTCGAAATGAATGCTGTTCTTTTGAACTTTCTATTCATCAAAGGCTCCTGAAAAAAAACAAAAAACGATCAAATAAAAAAATAATAAAAATTAAATTAAATAATAATACAATTATAAATTAAATAATAACTTAAATAATAAAAACAATGAATCTACAGCTTTGCCATCACAGGAATTAATTGCATTTTAAAATATATTTAAATAGAAAATAATTATTTCAGTTTAGTTTACAATATTACTTTGTATTACTTTTATTACTTTTTTTTACTACTTTTTCCCTTGTATTTTAACCAAATAAATACAGCCTGGTGAGCAGAAGCGACTTCTTTCAAAAGCATTAAAAAAAATCTAAATTATTCTGAACTTTTGACCAGTAGGGTACATGAGTTTATTGATGTGAACAATACAGTTAATTTCTTGCCATTATGTGTTTTTCTACTCAACCTGACAGTGTGTTGTGCATAGAAGGATTCCCCCCCTCCCCTTAATTTTCACTATTTCTTTTGGCCTAATGGACCTTGTTCAATCTTACGAGATGCTTCCAATCATTTAGATGTGAATGTTCCATTCTTATGCCAGTGATCAATTTAGAAATCTAATTTCCCTGTGCTGGGAAATTGCAGTTCAGTCTGGGCTCTACAGTGATGTTGTCCTCGCAGCCTGCGGTCAGAGTCTGAATACATAACTGATTGGCTTGTTGATCTGGTCAAATCTAGTTAAGCTTCCATGGCACTACGATTTCAGGGTTACAGGAGCAGAGGGAGATGAAGACGAGATACTAACAGTCTGTGTGACTGGCAGTGACCTGTAGCCGTCGGTCCGAGTCATGGCTTGTGAGTCAGAGTTTAGGTGACAGGAATCTAATAAAAGAGGAGAGATGAAATGTTAAGGTTGAACAGGCCGGGTTTAGTCATCGCAAGCAATCCATCCAGCAGAAGGAGGAGTGCTGATGAGTGAAAACAGAGGATGAAGACAATTCCTGGCAGGAGGACAGATGGTGTGACGTCTTTGATTCTGATCAGTTAGAGAGACTGACTGCAGGATTACACCCTCCAGCGGCCCTAAACGCTGACCTGAGATCAGCTGGTGGTCTCGTGTTGTGTTGGTCATGTGAGGCTGTTTTTGCATGTAGTTCAACTGCTTGGTCCGAAACAGAGTTTGATTGTCCCATTGTTCAATTTGGGTCCGAACCGTGCGTTCAAATGTTCGAACAATACAATAAAATAAATGTAAGTGTATTTATAAAGCTCTTTTAAAAACAACAAATGTTGTACCAAAGTGCTGTGCAATTAATACAAATGTTATATAAATGAAACATTATAAATTAAGAATAGCAGACTGTTAACAGATGTGTGCATATTAAGTGCAACAAGACTTTGAAATATAAAGTATGCATGTTCTGTGTGTCTCTGCGTGAACTAGCGCTGCAAGTTTTTCAAAGGTCTTCATGACAACATGTCAGAATAGAAGTTTAACTTGAAGAAATTGTGACAGAAATATATTGCTATTGTACAGTAGAATGCACTTCTCATTGTAGTAGTAATAATAATAGTGATAATATATATATTTTTTTCATTTGATTGTCAGCATTTTTGATAATATATTTGTATAAAATCATAAATCCAGAAAAATTAAAGCAAACAATATAAAAAAATTAAAAAATTAAATATAAGTAAATAAATAAATGGAAAAAAAGCAATCAATCATAGGGCACTATAATAATAATAACAACAACAACAACAACAATAATAATAATAATAATATTTTTTTTTTTTTCATTTGATTATCAGCGTTTTTGATAATACATTTGTATAAAATCATAAATCCAGAAAACTTAAAGCAAACAACATAAAAAAAGTAAATAAATAAATGAAAATAAAATGAAAAAAAAAAAAAAAAAAAATCAGTCATTCATAGGGCACTATAATAATAATAATAATAATAATAATAATTAATTAAATTTAATTGTTAATGTTTTATGAATTCAATTGATTTGACATGCTTTAATAAAACAATTAAAACAGAATAATTAAAATGGAAAACATGGAATTTAGGAAAAATACAAAAAAATAAAATAAAACTGATTTAATAGGACCCTGAAATGTCAATTGTGTTAATCTTTTAATGTAAGTTTCATGATTTCAATTAATTAGACAAGTTTATTTACTAAAATGTAATTGAACCATTGAAACAGAACTATCAAAACAGAAGAAAAAAAAAGAATGCAGAAAAAAAACTGCATGCAAAAAGGTAAAACTAACACAAAATGTTGGGGAAAATAAAACAAATTTAATAGGGCCCTAAAACTTCTTTATATATCAAAAAAATGCACAAGGAACGCCACTTGGGTTTGTCTGCAGCAGATGCTAGAGGTGCAAAGAATGCAAGCTGTTCTCTAAAGATATAATTAAGACAGAGGACAGCACTGCATGAGAGATATAAACCATAAGCAAACAATTCTGCAAATTATATGTCATCAAGATCATTTCACTTCCACACACCCCAGACCACAGGCCACGAGTGGACTTAGTAAACCACTTTCGTATCAAATTAACCAAACTTTGAAAGCACTGCTCCGTGTGAAAGCCCCTAAGAAAACCTGCCAATGACAACATGCTCATTTTTCTATCCTGTGTTTATCAGACGGTGATCATAATCAAAGGTGAAAGACACACTGACAGGGGGGCTATTTTTTGTCTTCGATTCAAACATCTTTTGGAACATGCATCACATTCTGTAAAATCTGAGGCTAAAATAGACTCTTTGTTTTACAACAAAGGGATCAGCTGTTTCAATATGAAATATGCGGATTTGTGGAATAATGGGAGACATTTGGAAATTGGAATTCTTCAAGGAGGAAATTTGGCAGTTTAAGACAGGATGCCTGGGAAAAGAAATGCTATCACCGTCAACGAGGACACAATATTTACTAGTTAAACAAATATTTACGTTAAGTTTCTT